AATGAGCGATACCTCAACAGATATCTCAGAATTGCCACCTCTGGAACAGAAAGATTGATGTTTCTTCTTGTCCTCTGAGTCACCAGAGGCTAAGCTGTCTACTCCTACTTCAGGGCTGAAATACAGCCAGGGATCTCTCTGACTCCCTCAACCTCTAACAGCTAATTCTCTGACTCCCTAACGTCTAACAAGCTATTCTGAGCTCCTCGGAAGGTAAGGCCAGGTAAGTTAAAATAAAGCATGCTAACAACATTGAACAGACAGTGTTGATCCAAGAGAGGAGACAGAAAAGGATAGACAAATAACTGATCTGAGCCTGAGCTCACGAACGTGAAAGCTGCATTGCATCATAAGCCCTTGGGCTTTCAAATCCCCTACCTAGAACAGGAGAGCACATCCATACCCATATACTTCAATAATGCAGCAGACAGAAAAGGCATTTTTGGCCAATGCTACTCAGCAACTTCAACCAGAGGACTGCTATAGGTCACTCCTTAAATACCCCACACACAATTCACTAAATATATATCCAGATGGTATGCTCACATACCACACCGCATAAATACATGCGCCAAAATATCCTACTGACTGGAGAGATTCACCTCTTGGCCAGTCATTTCACAAGCATCTGGTCTACAAGACTCAGTGTTTAGAAGCAGACACAGGCAAGGGGGAGGCCAGCCCCAGACACGGTCAATGCCACAACAGGACATGGTGCAATCTCTGCTAAATTTACAGCAAGGGTCGGTGAATTCAGAACAGTCAGGTTAGAATCTAAGAGTTATTTTTAAGGGCCAATGCACTTAATGTCTTTGCAAATTCACTGTCTAGCTTATCTAGTCAAGTCCTCGTTAGAACAGTCTCTTATAGAAGTGGAGGGGCAACTTGATAAGCAGTGTTTCAGGAAGGTAAGGTTCCCCAAAATATTAAGGTTCTCTACGAACCAAAGAGGAATTTGCTACAAATGGCAAATTTTTAAATGAGGACCATTTTCTTACAGAAGTCTCAAATCTGCAAAGAGGAATGTCTGCCTTTGGAAAAAAATCTGGAAAATCCTCTAGTAGTAGTCTATCATTCTGATAAAAGGTCAAGTCCATTCTATAACACTACAGCAGAAACCTATTTGAAATAAATACATACATGTATTTCATGGAGTACACTGTGCAGCTCTAATAGAACCATGGAGCTACACAAAACACCACAGAAGAGTAAACTCTCTTTCCAAAAGAGGTCAATAGTTTTATGGCAGATGTCTCACTGTAGCTCTGATGGCCTAAGGACATAAGCAAATCAGCATTTGCAGGGAGAGATCAAATCTCATTAGACCACAATATTTTAGTTAGGAAAAAAAAAAATACAAAAACCCGAAGAGTCTTTGGGCAGAAAAGCCTCTCTTTAGGTTTGTAACAGAAATTAAAAACATCAAAGCTAAGTATCAGTTGAAAAAACCAGCTCTGAATTTAACTAAATATTTTTATCTGTTTCACATCTGAAAGTAAAGGCAGGTGGTACCTGCAGAGGAAATAAAAATCACATTAGTAGATGGAAGAGTGGGGGAAAACGTCAGAGCTGCACCTCCTGAAAGAAACAGACAATTCATCTGAAGAAAGTGGATGGGTTAGCAACGTGGACAGGTGAGCAATGTGGAAGAGGAAGGAAAGTGAAATACAATGTTTGTGAAGTCAATACCTCAATTACTAAGCCCATGACTTTTAGTATCATATAATGTTATAAAATTAATTGCCTAGATTAGACTTTCCAAGGTGTTTGCATTTCTTCTCAAGGATATTAGACACCAAGTGGCTTCTTCCTTGTTGGTCTTTTTTTTTTTTGTAGAAGAGCCTTATTCATTCCTTTCTGTTGCTGCAGTATCAATTCTGAAGGCAGGATTTGATTGTGGATCCAAATTTATACATTTTGTCAAGTCACTCAAAAAACTGTAGCAAAATGACTGAATTTGTGGATGAGGGGAGAGCAATAGATGCCATTTATCTCGACTTTAGCAAGGTTTTCAACAGTCTCCCACAATATTCTTGTATCTAAATTGGGAAGTTACGATCTGGATGGGTAGACAACTAGATGGGTGGACAAGTGGTTGAACTGTTGGGCTCAGAGCATAGCGGTTAAGAGATCATCCTCTGCCCGGAGGCTGGCGATAAGGGAGTATGACAGAAGTCTAACTGGAACATGTCCCGTTTCCCATCTTTATCGGATAGCTGGAGGGGGTGAGAAAGTGTGCTCTTGTCAAGTGTGCAGATGACACCGAATTGGCAGGGAAACCACTTAATGACATCAAGGGCAAGACAGCCATTGACAGGCTGGAGCACTGGGCTAACAGTGCACTCAAAATTCAACATGGACAAATGCAAAGACCTGCCCCTGGCAGAGGAATAAATCCCTGCACCAACACAGGCTGGACACCAGCTGCTCAGAGAACAACTCTATGGAAAAGGATCTCAGGACCTTAGAAGACAGCAAACTGGACATGAGACAGTGCCTGAGCAACAAAGGTCATCAGCACCCTGGGCTGTACAAACAGGAATATAGCAGTACACCAAGGAGAGTGATTATACCCTTTTACTCAGCACTTCTTAGCCCAGATCTGTGTCTAGTTTTGGCCCTCTCAATGCAAGAGAAACATTGATAAAGTAGAACAAGTTCAGCAGAGGGCTACCAACATGGTCAGGGGGCCAGGGACACTCCTCTGTGAGGCTTTTTGCAACGGCATATAGTGGGAGAAAAACTGACAGTAGTCATGAACTGAAGAAAGAGAGGGAGAAATTTTTCACAAAATGAAATGAAAAAGGTCAGTGAGAGAGACTATGCAGTCTCCAGCCTTGGTGGTTTTCAAGACCAGACTGGAAAAGCCCCAAGCAACATGGTCTGATCCCAAAGCTGACCCTGCTCTGAGCAGAAAGTTGCAATGAGACCTCCTGAGACCTCCCAGCCCAATTCCATGATTGACCACCATTGCCTCTCTTCTCTGAACCTCTTCCAGTCCTAATATACCCTTTCTTGAGATTTTGGGTCAGAGATTAGAGAGGGCAAGAAAAACTAGAATTGTGCAAAGTACTCCAAATTTTGACAAACCCCAGTTTTATGAAAGACACAGTATTTGTTTTATTCTCTATTCTCTTCCTCAGAGTTTAAAGACTGGATTTGGCTTTTTTGACCCCTATTGAGCATTAAGATGATGCTTTCATTAATGCATGATGAATCATCCCTGATAACCCTGAAGTCTTGCTCCTTAGCAGCAAAAGTCAGCTTACCGCCCATCATTTTATGTATGAGGCAACAGCTGCTGCTTCTGTATGTTCATCACTTTACAATCACGTACACTTCATGAGCCTGGAGTTGTTCTAAACAGAATGAGCAATTGCTCCTGTAGAAACTTGATAGCAGGACCAGTAGAGTGCTTCAGCGAATATTCTCGTAGGAACTACTAAGCAGCTCAGAGGGATGAGAAACTCCTTTTGTGATATTCACCTTTCCTCTCCAGTGAATGTGTGGCGGGCACAAAATACCACTAGTGTTGCTTTAACTTAAATCCCTACACTCTGACAACCTTCTGGGTTTGCAGTCAGGTGGCACTATCCTCTGTTGTTTTTGGTTTTTTTTACTAAATCTGCAAAAACTCATTGATTTACTCATGAGATATTCTTAAGATAATTTCTGGTTTTGCCCTTTGCTTACAAGCTATATAAACAGATGATCTGTTATCTTTACATGCTTCTTTAAAGCTTCCTGTGAAGAAGCTCCATGTTTGTGAGCAAATCTATCCACGTGATGAAGAATATATGCCATCACAGGAAACACTGTTCAAAAGCTTTCAAAAAGGAAGACAATGTGCCCAGAAAAGCCCAGCATTTAAAATGTTGTCTCCCAAAGTAAGTCCAGAAACTGTGATGCAAATTGAAAACCAACACTAAGCAAGAGTTTGCTCCAGTTTGGCCAGCATGATTGAGAGGAACATATGGTTCTGTCCATTTTTACAGCCTCGCTAATCCATGCTTAACGAGTTAAGAGTGGAAGGTCTTAGCATAAAAAAAAAAAAAAAAAAAAAAAAAATCAATCTACTAGTGCTATATATAATACATTCATACTGGGGGTGTGCTCATAGACAAACACTGTGAGAAGAATCAAAACCATTCATAACAAACACACAGAAGTTCCCACCAAAACCCTTATTTTCCACAGTGTGTACTTCAAGTGATATAATCAAAAGAACATCTGATGACCTTGAACTAAAAGGAAGGACAACAAGACACACAGAACTTTTTCTGTATTTTCTAATAAATTGGCTATTTTATGAAATAACTGAAAATATAATAGAAAGCCTCCTTAAATACTATGTGTAATAGAGAATTGTTTCTGTGCATTCCCATTCATGGGCCAGTAATGGACAAAGACTACTGAAGAACAGCAAATCTTACACAGCAGACAGCCATTTTGTCTATTGCACTATGCTAGAGAACAGGTTGAAGCTTCCCATCTATACATAGGACACAGCGCATGTCAATTACATGAATTTTTAAGATGCATTAATAGATCTTCCGAGGCATTTAAGTTAATACTATGCTGCAACTCTTCCATTCACATTAAGAGATTATCAGTTACTAAAAGGATGGCTCAAATGTCATTTGTCACTTAAAATTCATTACACCTTTCAAAACAGAAAGTGGTCATGCTTACTGAGATTATTCTCATGGCTGGAAGAATGTTGTAATATGACAACAACAACAAAATTGTAATGTTCATGTAAGTAGCTAGCAGAAGAAAAAGTAATAGCTATTATGAGCTCATTTTTACATCCCTTTTAAAATGCTCCAAACATTGTTTGTATATCAATCTGATAAATACTTCACACTACAAATCTTCACGAAGTTTGACACAGGGCTCATTAAAAGCCTATTTATGTGACCACAAGATGATTAGATGAAAAACAGTTTGCAGTCAATTTTAAATAGATGCATAACAAAACAAAACTAAATTACACATACTGGAGGCCTGCCAGGACGGCCCCTTTTTCTTTTTCCTTTGACTTCTGCTTCTTCAAGCTCACTGCCAGCATCTGAATGTGCAGTAGTTTCATTTGTAGAATCCCTAGGGGGGGAAAAACACTAGATAAATTAAAATGATTTGAAATCAACAAGTAATCTATAACTGACTGATTAAATATTTAGTTCTAAGCCGGGGGGGGGGGGGGGGGGGGGGGGGAAAAAAAAAAAAAAAAAAAAAGGTCAGCATTAAAAGGCTTGCCACATTTATTCTGCAAACTAAGGAACTAAGCATTTAACAATGGCAAAAAGCCTTACCTTTTTATGGGCAGAAATGTTATTTTATAGACTAGAAGTTATTTAAATTAACAGCTTCTTCTGAAACCACATTACACTTCAAAAAAATGGGTACATTAAACAGCACATTCTCAACATATCCATCCCACAATGTATTCACTAGTATCAGCTTTCTTCTACTTTTAGTAACTACTTCTGAGCTGTTTTCAAGGCTGTGAGAAAGCAAACTGGAGTCCAGCTATCACATCATTAGAACAGTTACCAAGTTCCCACTCAGGTTACATCACGGTTTTAGTCACATTTGAAGACAATGGTATTGTGCAGCTGTTAATAACGAGAGGATTAACACTGACCATGAGGCACAAACCAGAAAACTCACTTTGATCTGAAGACATTGACAATTCTTGCAGTTAGAAAAACGTTTTCACTTGTACAATCAAAAAAACCTTGACATTGCTCAACAACTACTAGCAGAAAAGCCCATAGTATCATTTGTCAATCATTCCTGATTAGACTTAAGACCACACCAAGTAGGGAAAAAACATCACCCCAATTTCTGTCCCATCCCCCCTCGCCAGGTGCACAGGTACTTCTCTACCTTCAAAACAGACCTGGCTGCTTGAAGAAACTCAGCTTATAATTGATATTCTGAGGCATTAGATTTTGCCCAAGTAGGGCCCACAAGCAAAACCATACCTGTTACTCATGTGCTTTATTTTTAGTTTGCAAGATGACCAGTGCATGAGAGCTCTGTAAATGAAAAAGCAACTGTAATAACGTCCTAGATTACTTAAAGATGGGTCAAGTCTAGCTCTAATCAGAGATTTCTTTAAACCCAATATTCCCTTGAAGTGAAAGGAGTTAAATTGCTGTAAAACTTGTGCAAGGGGGAAGGTGAAAATCAGACCTATTCCATTATTTTATACAGCCTCAAACATAAGAGGCAGCATTAGTGATCTGGTTTACAGAAACAGAAACTTCAGCAAGCCAAGTTCTATACAGATCTTCCACACTGCCTAGGGTTTTATTTTTTAAATTTGTTTTACGAATCAGGAATACTTCACAAATTTGCTGTATCACCAAGAAAGCTATTTAGTAATGCAGAAAGATACAATCATCATTGTATCAGAATCAAGAATGTTCTGATACTTCTCTTTTCTGAAATTACTCTATTGTTCTAGGTCTGCTCTAACCCAAATAATTCTGCAGAACTAAGATGAATTTCTAATGTTAAGATATCATTTTCCAATGTTTTCCAATTTGCAAGCACAAAACCACTGAGGGGTTCACAGAATCCTTTACAAAAGCTGGAATGCAATAGAACATATGAGTCTCCTTTCCTGAAAGCAACTTCACTGAATTATCTCTAAATACTATACACACCCCAGAAAACCAGGCACCTCAGATTAAAAAACGGTATTTGAGTACATCTGAGTTCCCAAATGACATGCTTGTAAAACAGTACTGCTACAAAATACTGAAAATGCAGCTTTGTCATGATAAAAATCAAAGACAAGTAGCTTTTCTTCTTCATAACACATGGAAGTTGAAAAACTCAATATCAAGTTATGAATTGGGGAAAAAAAAAAAACAAAACACCACAAAACTAACAAACCACCACAACTGTACAAAGCCCAAAACCAAATAAAAGAAACCCCAAACATAGTTAAAAATTATTTGGTAAAATAGGGCCACGCTGGTGAAAAGCAACATAGTGAATAGAGCTGAAAACAATGCCTATGTGGATGGACGTATCCAGCCTTTAGTCAAAGACCAGCCATTGCATTGCAACTCAATTTGACAAAAATGTGCATTGCCTCACAAGGCGAAGTTGGGGTTTTTTTAAATAACTTTTGAACACAGAAAGAACCCCATAAAAATATCTGCTGCCTTCTATTGCTGTAGAGAAATTAAAGCCATTCTCTCTTCCTCTCTGTAGAAAAAATAAGCTTCCCTGATCTACACAGATCCTTAATGGAAAAAATTTAGGCATGGTGTGGTCTAAGCAATACCCCCGCTCCTGGCAAAATGCTGTAGCTTTTCTGGCTGACAAAACCGCACCCCTAATACCATCAGGATAAAGATTTTTCTCTATTAAAACCAGATTCAGCAGTCCTCCTAGGCAAATGGTTCAAACGCTTCCCTTGAAACACTGGAGCTATATAAATATATTAAACTGTACTATTATTCTGCATGCATCTAGTCCAGAGAGAACTTGACTTTACTACAGCTTCTGTCTGGGTCCAGCAAAACCTACTGAGATTTGTGTATTTAGTTCTGGAAATTTTGACTGCTTTGGAACACTGCATATGGAAGGAACGTTTAAATGATTAACTACCTTCTCTTCTTTGTCTTAAACCTAATAATGATGCTTCTCTGATATTTTTGTGGTAAAATTTCTCTGGTTTGCTGGAAGCCTTTTGGGAAAGGCTCAATAAATCAGTACTAAGGGGGAGATTCATCTAATCTAAATTTTAGGCATATACAATGCAGAAAACAGAAAATCTTAAATCTTAAACATACCTCATGTTAAGGTCAGTGTCCAAAATTGGTCAGACAATTTTTATTTAATAAATGTTCTTTTCTCTCTATTGATGGTAAGGTGATTTAGACAAGCAGCTCAAATACAAATGTCTAAAATTGAACAAGATGAATCTCACCCTAACAGTATGTGTAGCAGAGATATTTCCTCCAGCAAAGAATCTAAGTATGTAAGGAATAAAGGGAAAATATCATAAAGTAAGTTCCCTTCAATACTCACATTATTTGGAGTAGGGAGACAGTATCAAGGACAACCTACAATCCTTGGCTGATTTAACATTAAAATAAACATCATTTCAAGCAGCAGGGAATTCTGACTCATGCAACTGCTGCACAAAAAGGCCCTTCCACTGCAGCCATGAGCCCCTTCAGTTTGGGAAGTAGTGCTTCTTGCTTCTGTCAAGGCCTTACAGCTGCTCTGGGTACAGACACACATGCAGCTTTTCTTCTTATTTCTAAACTCAGAGGAGGAGTAAAGCGTCTCTTAACTGCCTGCAGTTCTGTCAGGTTTTTAACACTCATTGAGAAGAGCATCTGGCTAGCATCCATCTCCCTCGTTCCCCACACATCTTGCAGAACTGCTAGGAAGTAATTTATCTGGTGGCAGTCATCCACATCTTAATAGACCAGAACTACCCTATCTCTATTTTACGTGTGTGTGACTAGTCACCTGAGGGGAAAACTTAGGCTCAGTCACAATTTATCTTTCCTGAAGCTGTTGGGAGGGAAAATAATCTGGGCCTAAGGAGACCTGCCTCATCTAAGAAGAGGTGAGGTGGCAGTGCTTAAGGCTAAACCTTTCCTCTCCAAGACACCTGTGACTGTGATAGAGACATTAAGAGAATTTGGCAGAGCATGGTAGACCTACAAGATTGGGGTGGGCAGAGTAAAGCAGACAAGTGATAGCCCTTTTTAGGAGTTACTCTGCTTTTCTTTCTGGTTTCTGTGGTGGCTAAAGCATCCTAGAAAAATGGCACTAACTCCAGGATCCCTCCTAAAAACTCGAGATATTATTCCAAAGTTATAGTAATGAGGTGTTGAAACTAACATTATGGTAATTAAGAATTAACAGATAACTGGGCAGCCCTTTACCGTGTCATACTTCTGAAGAACACATTTCCGTAGACACAGTAAATTTCACATCTCTGCAAAATAAATCAAAACCAAATTTACCTGCCTTGTACCCTAGCTATAAGAGCTTATACCACCATCACCCCCCTTAAAAACACACCACACCAAAAGCCTACGGTCATGTATCAGGTTTTGTAAATAAAAATGCTTCTATAAGCTTTTATTGGTATTGCCAAGGTGGCTCAAGGTTCTGGCAGAGATAAATTCAGTAATTGCTACCACCAGACTCAGCCTTGTAAAAAAAAAAACATTCATGAAGAAAAATGGCTAAATGCACAGGCTCATGAATCATGGATGAATCAGTTCTCATGGTTGATCTTCGAAATCTGATGAGGAACATGCCTCACAGCAAATGTGAGTCACCCCACTGAGACAGAAGACTCATAACAGTCAGTCACCCAGGTCAGATACACCAGAAGTTTTTTTCCCCTACATCTGAAGCGCCAATAAGTGAAATCCTGTCTTCACTGCATTCTGAAACCACTTCTACAAATCCAGAAAGATTAAAGATTTCTCCTTTCATGTTCCCCCAACAGAGAAGGATTTGGGAGGGAATATTTGATATAGTCCTAAGCAAACTGCAATTATCAAATTGACTTTAGGACCCTTTGTTTAAAGGATGTAGCCGAAAAGATTAGAAAATGTTATGAAAAAGTAGAAATAAAGCATAGGAACAGTAGATTACAATAATCCTTCAAAGCTGCTTATTTAAGAGCTAGAAAGAAGCCTTGGCTTTCTCTGTGTGGAACCAGACTGTGGCTTCCCAAATCTGAACATGCGAGGCTAACACCCCTAAACCAAAGATTGCTTCAGGTTTTCTCACCCTTAGCCAGACTCCTTTCTGATAAAAGTCTGGTTGGGACCTACTGAATTAGCAGTTTCTCTCTGACAACTTGTCCATGCCAGACTTAATGTTTTGAGCCCTCAGGAGAGTCTCAAAACCTTTACATGCAAATCCTGCTGATTTTTTTATAAAAAGAAGGATCTCCTCTTGTTTATGAGCAACCAAAACTGTATGTGTTACTGATGATGATATCTCACCAACACTTCGCATAGTGACATTAAATGATTCCCAGCCCTGCCGGAAAAAAAACCATAAATGTTTCCTTTGATATTTTTAATGTTGCATAATATTGGTGGCTCACAATCATCTTCTGATTAAAGAATATGCCAATATCTTTAACGTCCCTCATGTTTTTCAGCTGGTGTGCAGAGTTACCAAATATGCACTTTTTAACCCTAAACTCTACGATATTTCGTTCAGTTCTTAAGGCCATCTAGCTTCTTGAACTGGGAACGGGAATATCCCTTTCCTACCATTGCCGTGACAGAAACTCCCAGCTTTTTGTCTTTGGCACAATTCACAAGCACATTCTCACTTCTTGAATGGGGCACATCCAGGAAAATAGGAACTGAGTAAAACTTTTTCCACAACGACCCCCCAAGCTAAGCAGAACCGCCCCCCGGCTGACACTCCCCCCTCAGTGCCACTCAGCAGGGGCTTCCCTGTCTTCAGCCACATCCTCACCCACAGCACAATTTAACCTTTTTTTTTTTTTTTGAAGAGGTTTTGAAAATATAAGAAAAAATTGTAATGCAGAGCATGTTATTATTATGGTCAGACAAATAACTTTACAATTATCCAAGCATTCAGTTTCTTAAATAAAGGCACTGGAAATCTTAGTTTTGGAACACCACTCAGCCTTGGTAAACTGAGGCTCTTTTACACCCTGCAATAATTCCTACTTTCATATGTTCGTTCCCGGCAAACAAACTTAACATTCGATAACTACCGAATGCGTTCGGTCTGCCCGGCAAGGCGGCGCAACGGGGCGGCCGCAGCGCGGGCTCTGTGAGGAGAGGCCAGGGCCTGCCCCGAGCCGGACACAGCCCGTTCCGCCCGGTTCCAACAGCCCCAGAGGAGCCGGCCGTGCCCCTGAGGGAGAGCGACTGCAGAAAGGGCCAAATGCCGGGAGAGGCGAAGGAGCGGCCCTGCGAGCAGCAGGAGGAGGGAGAAGGTGCTGCCAGCGGCCCCCGGGGAGCCCACGCCGCAGCCCCCGGAAGACCCCACGCTGCGGGTGCGAGTGGAGGAGTCGGGAACCAAGAGGTGAGGTTCATCCAGGGAAAAGGGCAGTGGGCAGAGGCAACCGGTTTGTGTCTTTGTTTCTCAAAATCAGCCAAATCTTACTCAACTGGCAATAAAATAAATGATTTTTTTCCCCCCAAGTCGAGTCTGTTTTACCCCAAGGGTAACTGGTGAGCGATTTCCCTGTCTTTATCTTGCCCCATGAGGTTTTTTTATCTTTCTTTCTCCCCCTGTCCTGTTGAGGCTGAGCGGGCGTCTGGCAGCCAGCCAAGGTCAACCCAACACATCAACGCTCCATTTTGTTCCTGGTTGTAAAATTCCCTTCTTAATTCTACTTGATTTCCTCTTTAACTCCCCTCAGACTTCCACTCTGTTCTTCCCAACAGTTCACTTTATCCAGGTACAGTGATGCTCCCATTTGTATAAGCCGCTCTTATTTCCCAATGAAATCAAAACATGCTAACACCACTTGCTCTCTTCAATTGCAGGGGCCAAAGGCTTTTTGCACAATAAATACAGCTCGTAAGAAAGAACACCCAACTGGAATACACAAATATGGTCAGTTATGACTAAAACCAATTCAAGTTTCTGAAATCTCACAACACTCAGAAGCATAAAAGTAGCAAAGACACTGTTCTGCTTTTCACTGCAAAGGTAAATCTCCATACAAACAAATAAATATCTTTTAGATGTGTTTCATTTTTTACACAGTTATTCAGCATAGGACAACACAGGAAGCCTGGAACAGTCACACGAATCTGCACTTCTCTCAGGCTTGTGTTTTATCCTCACGATCACTTCTCTGTTTATTTCTACCTTGGTAACACTGAAGATCTCAAATACAGAGAGAAACATATACTCACTGTAGTACTGGCAAATCTGAAGTAATCATTTTTGCAGCGCTCTTGAAAGTAAGAGCTACATAGAACTTCTTCTCAAAGTTATTATAAATCAACTACTTGGAAACCCCTTTCATGAAAAGAATGTCAAAGTCCAGTCTGCAAAAAAGAGGAAAAAAAAAACTGTTAGTTTTGATTCCCAAAAGAGTCATACATTGAATAAAAACCCACTGTAAACAAAAATGGTCAATTTTGAAGTATCATCACTATCAAACCACATGAAATTTTGAATGGATGCCCCAGGACAGCTTAATCATATTATTGCATTCAGTTTTTACAATTCTGTTTAGGCAACTTTACTTTTTGTTTTTAATTACATAAAGTATTTTCCATTACCTCCCTATTAGTTTACAGTAAATCTGATATAAAACCACCAGCAGAACTCTGAAAAAAATTAAATAAATAAATCTGGATCATCACATTCTTTGACTGCTTATACTTATATGTTTATTTTAAGGAATCTGGTCACACGGTAGACTAAACTTGCAAGAAAAAAGTTTAGTTTCATGAGAAACAGTCTTTTCTAGTTTCAAATCAAGACAAAATCTCTGCACCTAAAACCCACAGAAGTCTTTTCAACACCTATTCAAATTAGACAAACTGGCTCACAGTTTTATGTGACTGAATTTTACAGAAGAGTAGTCAGGAGCTACGCAGGTTCTCCAACTGCAATAGAAGGTATTTTTAACCTGATGAAACCAAAGTTGTAAGTTTAAATAGTAAACTAGACTGCATCTGTGGTACCACTGCACCCAGTAGTAAAATCTCTCTATCCAAAAGACTAATCAATGAATTGACTAACAACAGCAGACATGACTTTACCATTAAATAATTGCACAGTGTGACAGATGCACTAATCTTTAATGTAATAAAACATAGAACTGCCATCCTATTCTTCCAGAAAACTCAAGTTCTGGAAAAACTAAAATTATTTGTTTCATTCTCCACTTTTACAGATCCTGGGGTAATAAAAATAGCTGCACGGAGCACTGCAGCTGAGGAGCAGTAATAAATAACAGGGACTTAACTGCACATTTTGTAAACATAGAATATTTTAAATCTCTTATTTAAATATTTAATTTCTTCTCAAATAAGTTTATGTTCTCTAGTAGCTTTGCACAAGGCAGCAGAAAAATCAAGCCAGAAAGAGGTAATGTGACAAGCACCACAGTATATAAATAAAAATGCACCAGTGTAAGCAAAACAGCACAACATGTAAAGTATTATTTTCCATCCTAATGTATGCACATCTGTTTATTTACCAAAACCATGGCTGTACAGCATGAACAGACTTTTTGCCTCTGGTTATTACAGTTCCAGTTAGACTCACAGATGCATACTAGTTCTTCCAGTACTTACCACTTTGTCCTAACAACAGTTTTACTTACAGTGTCTCATTGCCAAATTTAAATTTTTCATATACACTGCCATCATGTTGGCCATTTCTTCTACTGTATCATTAAAAAGCCACCTTGTTGCAACACAAATGTTCAGGAAAGAGAAGTTTGTTTGAAATGAAAGTTACCACTCCAGCACTAACTGTTTAAAGGGGGTCATTTTCCATGGCCAGTACAGCCAGGTTGGTGTAAAAGCTCTCCAGTTTCACCATAAGAGACAAACAGTCCGACTTCTTCAAGCACAAAAATGTTACGCGATATGCTATTTGTGCTATTTCCATACCTTGTGTCCAGAACAATGTTTCTGCACTAGAGACACTACATCTTAAAGGATGTGATTACTTTTAAGAGGGGAATGACATGCCCGTTTCAACAACATCAAGTGACCATTTCAGGCACTTTTAAGAAATTATTATAAGCAAACATAGCATCAGACTGAATTAAGTTTTGAACTGACTTCCTATACGAAGAAAAAAAGGGACTATTCAGATTTCTGAAACAGATAGGTTAACTACAATCAGAACAACATGCACGCTGGTGGTCAGAAAATACTACTATGTAGGTATAACATAAGAAGAATATTTAATGAAATCCTAAAGTAGAAGAAGAAAGCTTTTGATTAAGTTTCTATAAATATTTTTTTCCTCCTGACATGACAATTAGATGTACACATTTTGTACAATACCTCCTCTTTGTTTAAAAAGTACGGGGGTTTTGTACACACACAAGCACACATGCACTCACATAGCTTTCAAAAGAAGTTCAAGAAAATTTATGTGCATTTCATGCAAGATATTTTCCACAGATGTTTAAGGCCTCCTGCACAGCTGTTACATGGAATTTCTTTTTTTTTTAATTTTCTTTTTTAACCTGGTTGTCACCCTTCACAACTGTTGTGCTGTGCGTGCTTGGATATAGTAACCAGCAGTATACAACTCCTCTAGGGAAGTGCTTTCACACATAGGGAAAAACATACGTGCTCAGAGATAATGTTTAAAAGAAAAGTTCTGGCCTAAAAGAAGGTATGGAGTGAAGGGTATGACGAGCCAGAAAGAGAACAGGGAGCTGTTTCATTCAGAAGCAACTGAAGGACCAAGGAAGCTGGACCCACACCCTTGACACAGTGGTAATGGCAGACAACCTTACACACAGGGAACGACAAGGTCCTGTGGTATTTTCTCAAAGTTCCTGTGCTAAACAGGAAACTGCAAAACAGTGCCAGAAAAAATTCCATCTGTATGTGGTTAGGTCCAAACTGGACCATCTAGAAGAGACAAAGTTGCCCTTCTACAGCCTTGTGTTAATAAAGGTACTTAATAAGGGTTAAGCCAAAGAGAGCTAAAATAGAAGAACTGTCAAGGCTGATGAGCTGGAAAATAAACAGCTCAGGAGGCAGAAGCCCAAGAAGAAAAGGCAAAATCCTGCCCATTTGTGGGACTGACCAGAAGTAGAGTCTTGCATTGCATGGAATAATGCTTGCCCATTATACAACCTAAGTCATCTGTATCCATCACCTGCATCCAGTACAGTCCTGCTGGCTATTATGGTCTGGATGCTAATTCTTTCCTCCTCAACCTAGACACTCAGCTGAAGTTAGGAAACCCTTAATGATCTTGGAATAACTGCCTTGCAGCTTCCCTCAATAGTAATATTCCCCTAAGCTCAAAGAAACCCCACCATTTGCTTCTAAAGTTCAGTCTTAAATTATCACCCATGTTGCTTCAGCTTAGTTTGGAAATAAGTCACTATAGTGACTAATGAAAAGCTTTATGTGCTTGGAACAGAATTCTCAATTTAGTTGTGCAATTAAGTTCGACAACTGTGGAAAAATCATTGATCCTTATGGACTACACAAATGAAAACCTTTACATTTTTTTGTTTTTAATAAAAGAAACACCTGTTTCTTAAAGATTATGTTTTTACAAAAAAGAAAAATCAACCTCTCCTCTTTTCTGTCCTTTTCAGCCTCAGAATTAAGGCATTGATAAAAAACCCTGAAAGCTTGAGACAGATTCCCATTTTGTCACCTTTCTCCTGGGGAAGAGAAGAGCAAGGGGAGGAACGCTTTATACTTTTGCATTTTGAGTTATTCATACTACAATAAACACAATATAGCTAAACAAGTCCTTTAACTTGTGTCAACTGCTTCTGTTTCAGGAGTTTAAAAAATCTGGTGTTTTCATTCAATCCCCATTTTAATGACCTTAGCATGTTTGCAGCTTTTTAAAACTGCACATTTATTTTTAAGATGACAAATTTATGCCAGCATAGTTAAAATGACCTATAGAAGAATATAAAGCAGGCAGTAGAAGAGACCATTCAGCTGAAACATACAATGGGAAAGCAAGTCAGTGTTTCTTTTTTGCTTCTATTTTTTTAACCATGCACAATAACCAGGGTAGACATAATGACCATTATATAAAACTGCTTCTTAAAAAAAATGCACCTTTTCTAGTAAGTTGTCAATTTTATGTTAATTGCTCCTTAATAAATATCTCATAATGAGCTTAGCTTTAAAAAGGCTCTACAATTTTACAACAATAAATCTGATACATGCATTCCATCAATATTTGCTGTAGTTTCCACTAACATATAGCTCCCTGTATTTTTTGCAGTCTTTAGATCATTTGCCTCTCTGGTGCTGAAGCAATCTACCCATTTTAGACAAACAACAAGCAAACAAATGAAAAGATTGAAATGAACCCTGAAACCTGACAGAGTTGTTCCAAGCAATTATCTGGTAGCAACAACCAAATGGAGTTCAACTAACCTTACTGTAAACTATGTACCTACATGTTATAAAGCCAAAACCAAAACTTCAAACAAAAAACCCAACTACTAAGTTTAGCAGTAAGCGTTACACCATTATTAATCCCACTGCCTATAAGACAACCAAAATACAAGATATCTGGCATTTGACAGACTCCCACTCAAAAGCCTTTCCTCATTGACCAAGTGACTTTGTCCCATCCAAGTACAAAATGTATTCAAACAATGGCTCACACTAACAAAGCAATACCTTTGGCTACTGAATCAGTAATGCCTGTATGCCATAACTTCATTTTCCCTTTAAAAATTACTTTGCCTTCTCCCTCAGTGCTCCCTGTTATGTCTTTTCTCGCAAGTTGAAAACTGATAAAGCAGTACACTTCTCCATCCCCTTAAGGCCCAAAGGACATTCGAGAACTACAAATGTACCGCTTGTGCAGACCAGAAGCTATAATACACAATGGTGTGTCATGCCACTGCACAGCACCATAAAACAAGACATGTAAAACTGAAGTTTTTTGTATTCGGTTTAGAGACAAGATTTGTCCCCTCAATATTCTTGCCCAACAGCTGCGTTTGGCAGCTAGGAAAAGGCCTGCATCAGCAAACGACAGTTCTGTCAGAAGGTAGCACATTGCACACCAAGACAGAGCTCCAAAAGCTTTGATCAACAAGGTGAGAGAGAAAAGAAGATCTCACAGCCAGCCAGGTAATTTCTAGCCTTTTACTGCTTTATCCAACCCCATGCACACCCTTGGGCACATCACTTAAATCCTTCCTGTGCTGTTATCCCATCTGCAAAGTGAAATTAACATTTAAAAATTGAAAGTGTAAATTCTAAATCCTGCAGAATGAGAAAAACAGTCATCAGGAACTACCCCTGTAACAGATTTACCAAATGCTGTGATGTGTTCTTCATAACTCAGGAGTTTT